ACTTGAGAATGAGGAGCGAATGAGTTATTTGGTCTTTTATATTTTCTTTTTAATAATGGACGGGCCAGCCCGCGGATGGCCTCGTTTAGGCCCATTCCCACCGGGCCAATAATTATCTACAAGTACAATACCGGTGTATTACAAGGGTGTTTGTTAAAAAATTATATTTCAAATTTTAAAATTAATGGAAAAAATTATTTAAATTTTATTTTTGTTTTAACAAAAAATATATATTATTATATATTTTATAATGGCACTTGTTACTTGTACGACTTACATGTGTTATATTATTGTACTTTTTATAACTTAAATCATATAACCACTTGAAAAATAAATATATTAATTGATAAATAATTTTATTTTTCTAATTAATATTAAAAATAATTTTATTATTGTTATAAATGAAATTGCTTTTTTTGCTGACAGGGCGTCTCGCGTGTTAGTTGGAACAAAAAAAAAAATTGTTGGTGAAGAGATTTTAACTTTAGGCATTGAGATTGCATTGTAGCTCTACAACCACCACACCAATCAATTTAGTTCGTGATTTTAATAACTATTTATATATATATATATATATATATTATATATATTAAATAAATTAAATTATAAAAATAAATAAAAATAAAGTAATCAAAATGAATTAAGATAAAATGTATTGTAGTAAAATGATTAAATTAAATTTAAATAAATTTATATATTTATTATTTGTTAAATATAATTAATTATATAAAAAAATTTAAAATGAAAAAAAATAATGTAAACTTAAATTAAAAATAAACTAAACTGAAGTACACCATTAATATAATAAAAATAATATAATATAAGATAAAAAAAAGTATAAAAAGTAAAGTAAAATAAAATAAGATAAAATAATAAATATAAGAGGTTATTATGAAACATTAAACTAAAATCAATAAAAATTTAAATGAATATAATGAAATATGAAATATTATTTATCAAATATTATTAATATGTTCTACTCTAACATAAAATATCAATTAAAAAGCTATATATTTTAATTATCTTGTTTATTTTAATTTTGTTTAATTTTATATAATTTACTGTATTATAATTTTATATTTTATTAATTTAATTTAATATAATTTACATTATCTTTTAAATTTGATTTGATTTATTCATATGTAATGTCTATATATTTAAAACGCTGTCAAATTTATCACCTAACTTGGATTGGTGTGGTGGTCACATACCCGGTTCGAATCCCATGACCAACATGTTTTTTTATATAGAATTTACACATGGAATGTCATGTCAGCGCAAAACGCCATGTCATTGACACACTGAACGCCGTGTCAATGTCACGTCAGTCGTAAAATGTCATGTCAGCACAAAAATTCCAAAATTGGGCCTTGATTCAAATTGCAAAAAATAGTCAAAGTGGTATATTAAATTACTAAATTACAAAGGTGGTAATTAAATTGCAAAAACATGAAAGATGGTGTATTAATATGCAATTTTGCCTAATAATTATTTATTGACATATAAGATTTTACAATACTAAAAATAAATTTTTGTATAATTATTTATTTGTTATTTCTTTTTCCTTTTTAGCATTGTATACTTTCTTGGAAATAATTTTTAATTGTTTTCATATAATTATAATGATATTGCAAGATTTAAATTGTGTGATAAAAATTGTTTAACAACATATAAATATCAGTTTTTCTATAAAATGAGATTGTTGCTTTTCTTATGGAACCAACCACCCATGGAACAGCTCCACATGGGGCTGTCCCACATGACTTTCATGTGGGACAACTCTAGCTGTCCCATTGGTGGTTGGTTCCATAAGGAAATCAACCATCTAGTTCCTAAGCAAAATTGATATAAATATAATTATTATGACAATTTCTCTTATGTATGTATATATATATAATGCGAATTAAATTTTAGTTTTGAAGTAATTTTTTTAATATCAACATCCCTTCATGATATTGATAAGTTATGGATAAAATACTACCAAACATTAATTGATATGCAAATATCTCTATAGTAACTCATGGTGTGGTATTGCATCATCATGTCAATTGCATAAACAATCAATTAATTTAAGATTTAAAAAAATATTGTATTTTTTATAAACATGTAAAAAGTAATAAATATTTAATTTATCTTTAAATATATAACTTGTAATTTTAATATATTGTCATTTGTTTAAATATGTACTACGTGAATCACAACATCCCTCTTATATATAATTTCAGAACGCATTGAGCCTAAGTGATAGTTTCACAGTTTCGTAATCTTACATGACAAAATATTATGCTTTGTAATATGACTTGGATAAAAACTACTACTAATTATCTTAGGTTCAGATTACCATATATATACACATTTAATACTTTTAAATCGTTCCATATAATTCTATTTATTAATTTTTTCTATAATTTGCATATATTATATTTTTCAAAATTTGTGCTTTGTCCATATTATTCCCTTATATTGTTCCAATTTTTTTTTCTATAATGTGTATCTCACGGGTTGCAACACTAGTTTTATAAAAAACATTAATAATTGTACAACTTATATATGTTATGATTAAACGATA